TCTTTGGTATTTCTTCTGGTCCTTTGTTGTTCTCTGGTGAATTACCTATAGTACTTCAGCATTTTTTTTGTAAGTTGGTTTGTGGTATTTCTTCTAGTCTTTTGGTGTTTGCTAGTAAATTGTCTTGTGATATTTCTTTTGTTCTTCGGCATTTTGCTAGTGAATTGTCTTTGGTACTTCTTTGGGTAGTTTTATTTTTTTCTTTTTTAGAATTTTTCTGGTAATATTTTTTCTAATCCTTTGCATTTTACTAGTGAATTTTTTTGTGATATCTCTTTTGTTTTTTGGCTTTTTGCTGGTGAATTATCTTTGGTACTTCTTCTGGTCCTTCATCATTCTCTGGTTATAGTACTTCAGTGTTTTTTGGTAAATTGGTTTGTGATATTTCTTCTGGTTCTTTGGCATTTGCTGGTGAATTGTCTTGTAGTATTTCTTTTGTTCTTTGGCATTTTGCTAGTGAATTGCTTTTGGTACTTCTTTGAGTAGTTTTATACTACCCCCTTTTTTTTTTTCTTTTTTAGGATTTTTTTCTGGTAGTATTTTTTCTGGTCCTTCAGTGTTTTACTAGTAAATTGTCTTGTGGTATTTTTTTTGTTTTTTAGTGTTTTGCTGTTGAATTGTCTTTGGTACTTCTTCTGGACTTTTATTATTCTCTGGTGAATTGTCTATAGTACTTTGGCATTTTATAGTAAGTTGGCTTGTGATATTTCTTCTGGTCTTTTTGCATTTGCTAGTGAATTGTTTTTTAGTAGTTCTTTTGTTCTTTAGTATTTTGTTGATGAATTGTCTTTGATACTTCTTTGGGTAGTTTTATACTACCTTTTTTTTTTTTTTTTTAGAATTTATCTGGTATTTTTTCTGCAATTATCTTGTGGTATTTTTTCTGGTTCTTTGGTGTTTTGCTGGTGAATTGTCTTTGGTACTTCTTTTGGTTCTTCGGCATTTCTAGTAAATTGTCTTGTGATGTTTCTTTTGCTCTTTGGTGTTTTTGGTAAATTGCTTTATGAGGTTTTTTGATATTTTTGGTAAATTTGTCTTGTGGTATTTCTTTTGCTCTTCAGCGGTTTGCTAGTAAATTGTCTTGTAGTGTTTCTTTTGCTCTTTAGCATTTCTGGTGAATTGTTTTGTACTTTTTTTGGTCCTTTGGTATTTCTAATGAATTGTCTTTGGTATTTCTAGTCCTTCAGTGTTTCTAGTGAATTGTCTTGTGTGTTTTTTTTGCTCTTTGGTGTATTGTTAGTGAATTGTTTTTGATACTTCTAATCCTTTGGCATTTTTGATGAATTGTCTTTAGTACTTCTTCTGGTTCTTCAGCATTTCTGTGAATTGTCTTATATGTTTCTTTTGCTCTTTGGTGTTTTGATTGTGAATTGTCTTTGGTACTTCTAATCTTTCAGCATTTCTAGTGAATTGTCTTGTAGTGTTTCTTTTTGCTTTTTGGCATTTTGTTGATGAATTGTCTTTGGTACTTCTTTTGGTCCTTTGGCATTTCTAGTGAATTGTCTTGTGGTGTTTCTTTTGCTCTTCGGCATTTCTGATAAATTGTTTTGTATTCTTCTAGTCTTTTAACGTTTCTGGTAAATTGTTTTTGGTATTTCTGGTTCTTCAGTATTTCTGGTGAATTGTCTTGTGTATTTCTTTTGCTTTTTGCATTTTGTTAGTGAATTGTCTTTGATATTGCTAGTTTCTCGGCATTTCTAGTAAATTGTCTTTGGTATTTCTTCTGGTCCTTCGGCGTTTCTGTGAATTGTCTTATATGTTTTTTTTGCTCTTTGGTATTTTGATAATAAATTGTCTTGTGGTGTTTTTTTTTGCTTTTTGGCATTTTGTTGGTGAATTGTCTTTGGTACTTCTTCTGGTTCTTTGGCATTTCTGGTGAATTGTCTTGTAGTGTTTTTTTTGCTCTTCGGCATTTCTGATGAATTGTTATGTATTTTTCTGTCTTTTGGCATTTCTGGTAAATTGTCTTTGGTATTTCTGGTTTTTCAGCATTTCTGATGAATTGTTTTGTGTATTTCTTTTGCTCTTTGGCATTTTAGTGAATTGTCTTTAATACTTCTAGTCCCTCAGCATTTATGTGAATTGTCTTTGGTACTTCTTCTGGTCCTTTGGCATTTCTGTGAATTGTCTTATATGTTTTTTTGCTTTTTGGCATTTGGATAGTGAATTGTCTTGTAGTTTTTCTTTTTGCTTTTTGGCATTTTGTTGGTGAATTGTCTTTGGTACTTCTTCTAGTTCTTCAGTATTTCTGGTAAATTGTCTTGTGATGTTTTTTTTGCTCTTCAGCATTTCTGATGAATTGTTTTGTACTCTTTTGTCTTTTGGCATTTCTGGTAAATTGTCTTTGGTATTTTTGGTTTTTCAGCATTTCTGGTGAATTGTCTTATATGTTTCTTTTGCTTTTTGGTATTTTAGTGAATTGTCTTTGATACTTCTAGTCCCTTAGCATTTCTGGTAAATTGTCTTTGGTACTTCTTCTAGTCCTTTAGCATTTCTGTAAATTGTTTTATATATTTCTTTTGCTCTTTGGTATTTTGATGATGAATTGTCTTTGGTACTTTTGATCCTTTGGCATTTTTGGTGAATTGTCTTGTAGTGTTTTTTTTGCTCTTCGGTATTTTGTTGATGAATTGTCTTTAGTACTTCTTCTAGTCTTTCAGTGTTTCTGGTGAATTGTTTTGTGGTGTTTCTTTTGCTCTTTGGTGTTTTGCTAGTAAATTGTCTTTGGTACTTCTTCTGGTTCTTCGGCGGTTTACTGGTAAATCATCTTGTAGTGTTTCTTTTGCTCTTTGGTGTTTTGCTGGTTAATTGTTTTTGGTACTTCTTCTGGTTTTTTGGTGTTTTTGATAAATTGTTATGTAGTATTTTTTCTAGACCTTCAATGTTTTGTTAGTAAATTGTCTTGTGGTACTTCTTTTAGTTCACAATATAATTCTCTACCAAAATACTAAAGTTCTTTGGTAATTTTTTTTGCTAGGTTTGTTGTTGGGTTTGAAAGTATAGTCAAACCTCTCTATAGTCACCTCCTATATAAGCATATTTTCTTTATAATTGCATTTTTTAAAAAACAAACTGTTATTAAACATAATAAATTTAACCTCTATAGTTGTTACAATTCTTTATATTCACACTTTTTTGTATCCCAAGTAAGTGATTATAGAGAAATCTGACTGTAGTTTTTTTAATATTTTTTTTAGTAGTTTTTTTAATAAATTTGTATCAATTTTTTTTATTTTTTATATAAAATTTTAAATTTAGAAATTTTATTATTTTTTATATTATTGAATTTAATTGGTTAATTGTATTAGATTAGCTTTTTAGATCAAACTTCGGAATAAAAAAATATAAAATACACATGATTAATTTTGATTGGTTGATTGTGAGGTCACCATGGTGACAGGTCGCTATAAAATAACACCCAATTAGAAAGTTTTATAAGTAATATTAATACTGTATTATTTATAAAATTTATAATCTTGATTTTCTTAATGAGAATATAACTTGCAAAAAAAATTTAAAAAATCTAAAAAAATATTTTTATAAACTTTAAATATTGAATTTAATTTTGTATCAACCAATATATTTTTAAAAAATCAATTAAAAAATTTTTATATATAATAAAAATTTTAATTTTCACTATGGTTTATTAATAAATTTTTGTTAATTCCGGTAATTTACTTCCTATTACTGTATTAAATCATTAAGTTAATTCTATCGAGATATGAGTTGTGAAAGTTAAGTTATTGAATTTTTTTAAAATGTCAATCTGCCTTATTTCTATTGACGGCAGCCTATAGTTTTTATTTATTACTTTTTGATGTTTTTTTTTTATTAATGTTGGCGGCCAAACAAAATTTTTTAACTAAAAAAAAAAATATGAACTTGGCCGAATTGGCCGTACGTAAAATGCCCAACACCGCTTATAAGGAGTTGGTTATGGTAAATAGCAATTTCATATTTATTAGCACGTGATACAGGCATGCCCTTGAACACCGTGCTCCCAACTAGAGATGCTGGTGAAATTAATTTCACCAATTTAACTATAATTTCACCAATAGTGATGAAATTATTTCACCGCTCTAATTTTATTTCATCAACATCCTTACTCCTGACCCTATTTACTACAAAAAAATATATTGTTATATATAATATTTCTTGTAAATATGCAAAAAAAAGAATTTTTTTTTGCATTATAGTTTATATTGTACGTACGTACAATTTTTTTTTTTTTGAGATACAAGTATTTGTTTGGCTAATGCCAGTCACATGATCACACTTCATAAACTTGGCGCAAAAAACGAGACGCGACGATCGTTATAAATGTAGTACAGATTATTTTCGATAACGTACGTACCAGGTGGCTTTTTTACCGTCACAAATTTCCCATTGTATTTCACTTCGGAAGCTTGCCGGGTAGTACGTAAAGAAAAAAATCAACTAGGTAGAATCTAGATATCATAAACTTATACATACCCCACATCAGTCTAAACAAAAAAAACAAGCGTTTAAGTTATATAAATTGTTAACATTGCAGTTTTTTCTCCTTAAACATCCCGCCAGCTTTAACAACGAAAAGTTATCTATCCAATAAAGTCTTCCATTGTTTGTATCGTAGACGATAACTTTCTAAAATCTATTTCATAGACAAGTTTGCCTGCCTACTCTCAATAAAGTATACGAACGACTTTCTTGCTAATCCATTTGTACATCGCCATCGTTTTAACTAAACAACTCATTTAACATAATTCTCCATCTGTGTAACAAAAGAAAAGAAAAGCAAAAAAAAGAAAAAAAAAACTCTCTAATATCTTTCGTCATCGGTGACCTTTTGTTTTAGAAACTTTCTGCGCTAGTGGCATCAAACAAATCAAAGAGACTGCCACGAAAAACTTATACGCATTAATAACAACATTAATAATAAAAGCGACATTCCGGAGCCTTTGTAACATAGTACTGTAAAAAAAAAAAAAAAAAACAAAAATTTATAATATACCATACAAATGGCTAATAATCTTGCAAATCAACAGTCTCACCACCATCTCAAGTGAGTTTAATTTTTTTATCTTTTCCTTTGTATTTACAGCATGAAGGTTTATTTCTGTATAAACGAACTTATTAAAATCGAGAATAGTTTCAATTCAAATATGTGCTATATTGATCAATCTTTTTTTTTTTTAGTCACGAAAATGATAGTTGGAAGAAAAATCTAAGGTTGCCTCCCAAAGATAATCGACCACAAACAGAAGTAAGATTATATCGCTTTGCTATGGTTTATTTTATACCATCATAATATTCTTAATATTAATACTTCCTTTTAAAATAGGATGTAACCAACACAAAGGGTAATGAATTCGAGGACTATTTTCTTAAACGCGAGCTGTTAATGGGCATATTTGAGGCTGGATTTGAACGTCCATCACCCATTCAGGAGGAATCGATACCCATCGCTCTAACCGGTCGGGATATTCTCGCGAGGGCCAAAAATGGTACAGGAAAAACGGCGGCTTTTGTTATCCCGGCCTTAGAGAAAATTAATGTTAAAAAACACAAAATTCAGGCGTTATTGCTCGTCCCAACTAGGGAATTGGCCTTACAAACATCGCAAGTTTGCAAAACCCTCGGCAAGCACATGGGAGTTCAAGTCATGGTAACGACAGGAGGCACGACGTTAAAGGATGATATTTTACGCTTATCCGAAATCGTTCATATTGTTGTTGGAACACCCGGCCGTATTTTGGATTTGGCCGGAAAAGGAGTAGCCGATTTCAATGAGTGTCCAACATTCGTGATGGATGAAGCTGACAAGTTGTTAAGCCCAGAATTTTCTCCGATCGTTGAACAGTTATTGACATATTTTCCAAAAGATCGTCAAATAATGCTATATAGCGCTACGTTTCCCCTGATCGTGAAAAGTTTCAAGGTAGGGTAGGCGTATATGCAGATTATTGGATGTTCATATAGTAAAGATGCAATTATCAACTCAGTAAGCTTTATCCGCATATTATCCTCTAGGATAAATATCTTGTAAAGCCGTACGAAATTAACTTAATGGATGAACTTACTCTTCGCGGTGTCACGCAATATTACGCATTTGTTGAAGAACGACAGAAAGTGCATTGCCTCAATACTTTATTCTCCAAGGTTTGTAATCACTTATGGTTTTCCTACTTTTATTATTATTATTATTATTATTTTAGCAAGTGATTTGACATTTTGCCCTCAATCAACAGCTCCAAATCAATCAATCCATTATTTTCTGTAATTCCACTAATCGCGTTGAACTCCTTGCAAAGAAAATAACCGAACTAGGATATTCTTGTTTTTACAGTCATGCTAAGATGCTGCAAAGTCATCGTAATCGTGTTTTCCATGACTTCAGAAATGGCGTATGTCGTAATTTGGTGTGTTCTGGTATGTATTGATATATGTAGATAGATATTATTTGAATTTGCCAAAAGAAATCCATACATCCAAACATAGAATCTCTACACAGCAAATGCGACTTCCAAAAAATTACATGTAATTAAAAAAAAAAAAAGAACACTACAACTGGTAATATATTATTTACCCAGGTCTTATTTTTCTGTTATGTGAAAGTCTGCATTATATTGTATATTATTTTATATACAAGATTCTATATGATTTTACTGGTTTTCTTTTGGTGATACATATTTTTGTAATTAAATTAATGTTTATATTTCGATTAATATTACAATTAGACCTGCTTACTCGTGGAATTGATATTCAAGCGGTAAATGTTGTGATTAATTTCGATTTCCCAAAAAATGCCGAAACATATCTTCATCGTATCGGTCGTTCTGGCCGTTTCGGTCACCTTGGACTCGCAATTAACCTTATTACATACGAAGATCGTTTCAATCTTTATAAAATTGAGCAAGAACTTGGAACCGAAATTCAACCTATTCCGCCCGTCATTGACAAGCGATTATATGTTGCACCCAGTGCACTTGATGATGTCCAATCCCAACAACAACATCAACACCAACATCAACATCAACACCAACATCAACACCAACATCAACACCAACACCAACACCAACATCAACAGAATAATCAAAACATTCGTAATCAAAACTCGCGTAACTCTGGTGGGATGAGGCATCCTAATTCGGGTCGGTCAGGCATGGGTGTCAAAGCTGCTTCTTGAAAGAAATTCATCACAGAAGGGTAGGGATGTAAATTACCGTAATTTTGCGTAATTTATGTAATTTTGCGTAAGTTTCGGTAAATTAGTTTTCATGTAATTGTAATTTTGAACACATGCAAAGTTTATTAAATTACCACAGAGCACTACATTCAGTATTCTATGTCTCAATTTTTTTACATCATAAAAATTAAGAATCAATTAAGAATCACACGTATCATGCGTATTATGCATCACATAACATATTAAGTAGTAGTTTAAATAGATACATGTTTTTTGTTCACGCCAGATGCTGAATGCCGAGCTCTATGGTATCGTTCGCTTAGTTCATTTAAAACCATTTTAAATAAATACGTGTAGTTTATAATGAAACTAAAATGGATCAAAAATTGAAAATGTGGGATCAATAAGAAACGAATTGATGAAAAAAAAGAATGTTTACAAGTACAAATCAATGTAATGATGAATTTAGGGACGATGATTTTCTGCGGTGATATTTATTTATTTTTAAATAAATATCACCGCAGAAAATCATCGTCCCTGTGATGAATGAACAAAAAATGCGACTCAAGAATTTGAAAGCATGTACTTTAAGAAATCAATATCAAACGAAATTCCTAGTGCTAATAAGATGCGAATACAAGTTCAAATAACTTTTCTCAAGATCAAATCAATCAGAGTCTTGCCCATGCTTTTTTCACCATTCAGTATAGTTGAAAATGAAGATTTTCTGCTTTTTTTTTTTTTTAAAAAAAAGCCTGCTCTTTTTTTAAAACTCCCTTTCTGGTTCGCTTCTTAATAATGATATGTACAACAACTAGTTGATGGATCGCCTTGCCGTTGTTTAGTTAGTGATGGTTGGTCAAATATTAATAAATTATTTGCAATTAACTATATAATAATACACCTATTTTATAAACAATTCATATTGATGAAGGGCACTATACGGCAGAAGAAATTGTCAAAGGAATCGAGGATATAATGCAA